GCTCGTTCTCGCGGCCGGCTGCGTACAGTAGTGACGGCCGCGCGGGAGCGGTCACATGACCGTAGCGGCTGCCTGTACAGTAAGGACCCAATATGGCAGCGGCGGTAGCAGTGGCAACGGCAGCAGAAGGACCGGCCGCCCCATAGACCCGCCCGCGCAACACCCTCGCCGCTTCCTCTGCTTGGGTGCTACTTCGGCCTGACTTCCCCTTTCTCCCACCTTTCCCGGCACCGCGGGAAAAGCAGCGCAGGGCACAGCAGGCAGGGAGGGCGGCTGGAGCCCGGACACGGGAGCCTCCCAGTCAGTTCAAGACCCGACATGAGGGAAAAGGGCCGTAGGAAGAAGGGCAGGACCTGGGCGGAGGCCGCCAAGACGGTAAGGGGGAGGGCGCGAAGGGAAAGGCCGAGAGGATTTCGTTCCCTCGCCGCCCGACGGTCGCAGGGGAAGGGAGGTCATTGGTCCAGCGACCCGGCTGAGGGGGCACAAAACCGCGCGGAGAGGGCGGCGGTTAGTGTGGGGGTTGTGATCCCTATGGGAATGGAGGCGCCCAGCGGAAGAGGGTCGCCGCGGGGCTGTGGCTTCTCCCTGCGTCTGCGACGAGTCCTCTAGGTGTTTTGAAGCTTTCTCTCGGGGTCACGTCGCTCTACCCCCACTCTGTGGTAGCCCCCGCCCCGGCATGGGGAAGTCTGTTGCTCTTGCACAGTAACCGGTTCTTCTCCCTTGTGCGGCTGAGGAGCCCCCATTGGGTGCAGACAGGAGACTGCTTGTGCGTGCACTCAGCCCCGGGAAGAAGGGAGCGCAGGAGCTTGGTAGAATTTACCCGCTAGAGCGGACTAGCCGCCTGACCTCAGGCCCCCTACTTGTCTGGGCTCCCTGATCCGATGTGAGGTCACGAGGCTCTTGTTTTTGTTTGCTGTTGGAGCTGAAAGTGCAGGAGGTGTTTAGAAACGAAGTAACAGGTGGGACTTGTAGGATTTTTTTTTTTTTCTGTTTCCGTAGAGACCTACTCTGAACAAGGCTGCAATGCATGGTGGGACGTGTAGTTTACCCGGCCTTGACTTTTCCGTAGCTAAAATGATGATGGCCTCGAAGTTGTACTTGGTGGGTAAAACCACCTTTTTTTTTTCTTCTTCCTAATTTTGGTATAACGAAATTTAGAGGTAGGTTTTAAAAAATGGACTTTTTAGGATTAGTGAGAACTTTGTTTTATGAAAAAAATTAAAAGCGTGTATGTATGTAGAAATGAAACGTTAGGAGAAAGCGAAGTTCATTCCATTTTTGAGGGTGCAGCAGAAAAGTAATAGGACATAAAACAGCGTTTTAGTGTTGGGAAGTAAGAACGAGTGGAGACATTATTTTTAATGGTTAATCATGTCTGTAATACTTGTACAACATGGAGAGCCAGCCCTTCTAAATGAACCTTTATTATATGACGTATGGTTTTTTTAAATGAGATTTTTCTGAATATAAATGTAATGTTCACTGTGGGAAAATTTAGAAGATTATAGAAACGTGTAAATAAGAAAATAAAAAAATCACTATTTCACCCTCAGAGCTGTATCTGTTAACATTTTGGTATGGTATTCTCCAGTCTTTTTTATTTCCCCAAATCTGGGTACTGCTGTTTATTTGGTCTTGTGCATTTGTTTTGGAAACTTTACACGTTAGGGAATTGATCAGTCTTAAACTTGTATTTCTGTTTCATTTGGAGATATGAAAAAGTTAGTAAATAAAATCACATTTTATTTATTGAGTGTTTTCACTTACAGTATATTTTCATGATTGTGACTACTGGCAGTTTCCGCTAAAAGATAAAACTCTAGAAATAATTTTTTTGGTTGTTGGGAAATTGCCCCTTCGCAGAAGGCTATTTCACTTTCTTCTCCTTGAGGAATTCCTTAAGACCTCTTTTATTAAAAGAAGGATGGTAAATTTTAATTATAGGTAAGCAGACCCAGCCCTAATTATGTTAATTAATTTTAAGTCTCTAGAATCTTAACAATACTTTTTGAATTGTGATCTCTTTGGATAAAATTATTGGGAGATTGTGACAAAAAAATTTGCATCTACTGTTTAGATTTTTCTATAATAAATTAGTATATTTGCTCATTTATAATGAACATTTCATGCCCTAGCTAGCTGTGTAAAAAATAGAATTTTGAAGGTAGAAGAACTAGTTTAATTAGTAGAGTTCTGAGTGAGTTCCTGAAGGGATTAATATATTAGTGGCTTGGTATTTTTATTTGATTCTGGCAAATGTATAAGGCTTCAGTCTAAGTAAAAATGAATTTTAGAAAGAGAATTGTGACACTACAACTTTTTTCTTTTTTCTAGTAGCCAAAATCTAGAAAGTACCCTGTTCTTGGTTTATCATCTATAAAGTGAGAAATTAAACTAAACCTTTGTGTTCAAAAGATTTTGTTTATAGGAGGAATAGAAGTAAATGTAGGAGGAATAAATTAAAGTAAAACTTTAATGTTTTAGACTATAGAATGAAATTAGAAAATTAGTGATTTGACAAACGGAAGTAACTGATTTAAATTAAGAAATGGTGTGTATACTTATAAGATCAAGAAAATTAGAAGTCAAACTTATTTTATAGGCATTAAGGTCAAATGTTCTAGAGTTTCATTTTCAGCAAAGAAATAATAAAATTATTCATGAATACAGGCAACATCTGCTTCTTATTTCATTGTGTCCTTGGTACCTGTATTGTAGAGCTATTCTGTTTCAGGGAGCATTATTAAAATGGGCTTGTATTCCTGACCAATAATACAGCAACAGATGAAACTATTCAATTATATATACATATATGATATGGTGTGTGTGGGGGTATGTGAGAGAGCTACATGAATTGATGTAAGGTTGTTATGAACAGTCTGAAAAAGCAAAATAATAAGATTCATATTTATTATATAATAGTAAAATTGTGCTAACAGGCTGATTAAATGTGTAGACTGGTTCTAATAACTAAGGACACCGGAGATAGGGCTAGTGGAGTCTCCCTGCTGATCTTTTTTATGTTTGTCCTGTATAAATACACTAGTTATAAAAAGCATTATTCAAGTAGTCAGTTAATAGTCTCACATGTTTTAAATTTTAAGGGTGGCAGTGATGGTTGGTTGTGAAATGATTTGGATGAGAGATCTGTAGTATAATGTTTGGTGCAATTTAAATAGAAAAATTTCTAGTAAGCCAGAGATACTGAGAACCATTACACTTTAATATTCAAAGTTATGCTCATTCTTAAAAAAAAAGACACTATCTAAATATTTGATGACATCCCTGAGGAATTTAGCTGTTTTTGCAAAGCAGAGCTTTCGAAATTTTGTAATCTTGTCGATCCTGTTTCCTTTCTGACTTTTCTCTTGTCGTCCACCAGATCTCGGGAAGCAGTAAAAGGGAAAAATGCCCTAAAAGGACAGGTTTGTTGGGATCATAGGTGGAAGGGACAGACTGCACTGGAGGTACTTTTGAGTATCTTTTGGAAGTAAAGTGGTGTTTGAGGAGCACAGCAGTTTGTAATTGTGGATCTTTAGTATTTAGTTCATAGACAGAAGAAAAAGTAGTTTTTTTGGGGGTGGTATCTATATAGAGTTCACTTACTGGTTAATATTTTGGATGTACATAGTTTTCTTTTGGTGTTTACCTCAAGTTATTTAATTTTAGGGAATAAGACGGAAGATAGAAAATTTCTATTAAAGGAGTCACACTCATAGGCTAATTATTCTTATAGAGGAAGTATGGATAATGGAAAATAATTAGTTAAAAGTACAATGATAAAAATATATTATGATTAGAAAGTTGTTTAGATAAACATCTTAACAAAATACACTTGAGAAAAATATACATGTATTAGAACTATTTTCAGTACTCTCAGTCTTTACCATGAGTAATTTTTTTCTTAAAAAATAAGGCTAGGAGTATGGCCAAATCTGGTTATGACCCCTTGGATCTATACATACCAGGCCAGAGTCCTTTTAAGTCTGTATTTGTATTATATTTGTATTTGTATTAGAATCTCCAGGAGAGTGTGTGCATCTTGGAAAAACATATTAAACAATCTATTTTTGTAATACAGATGATAGAAAGTAAAACTGGGCAATACCTTGGTTTGTGGAGTGCATAAAAAATAAGTGAGAAAGCATTGTAAGGGGCGTGGGTTAAAAGTTGAGAAACTGCTCTGATCCATAATTTTCAAAACAATAACTGCATATTTACATTTATTTTTTATTTCAATTTTATTGAGGTATAATTGACATAAAATTGTAAGACATTTGATACATTTGCTGGTTGACTTGGTGTAACATTCTTTCTTGAGTGATCTTCCTTCTTGCAATAATGAATTAAAGTTTCCCTGTATTTTGTTTCTAGAATTTTGTATTATTTTCAGTTCCTCCTTCTGCCCTATCTTGAAAGCCCATAAACCTCCTAACTCGTTGAAGGAAAAAAAATCAAAATCTTTTTTTGAATACAAGTTAAACATTTTTATGGGAGGTGCTGCTGCATCTCCTAGAATTCTGACAGGAGCTGAGAAAATAACATCAGATTTGCAGAAGCTCTCGCTGTTTCATCATCCGCAGAATCTATCCATCTTAAAAGGCTGTGCAATTTTACTGTTGGTTAAAGGGCATTATGTTTTCACTACAAAAACTGTGTGGAAGGAGGCCAGTGTGTGGAAGATATAAAAACAGAGAAGTGACCAGTAGGGTTTGCTAAAACTTTCTATTTTCGTCCTTTCTACAAATGACCTCTGAATGCCCCTCAAGTTCTGTGTTCTTTCTTTCCATATCTCATAAAGGCCATCCTCATGGTTTATAGTATTGTGCAATTTAGTATTTTTAGTACAGTTTGATTTACGTTTTTAGTATTCTTAAAAGGTAATCAAATAAGTTCTTGAACTCTTTAAATATGACTTAAAAATAATAGTACTGCTTGCCTTAAACTTTAGTTGAGTTTCTTTTAAAGTTCTATAGACTCACTACTTAAAAAAACAAGTAGAACAGAAATATGAAGAGTGATGAGCTACTATACTGATAACAGGGATTAAGTGAAAGTTTGCATACTGAAATATTGAAAATATTTAGAGTTATACTGAAATTAACTATAGTTGATAGTTTAGATATAGCTTTCTGGACTTACATGGAAATATAAGTCCTGTATGTGGAAATGTGCATAAACATGTATACCTGTATATATTTTATATACAGATCTGCAACTTGCTTTCTTTCTGAATGTCACGGACGCCTTTTTATTGCCATTACTTATCTGCCTGATTCTTTTAAATTATTTCTTAATAGTCCATTGTTTTTAGATGTATCATTTAAAAATCAGTCCTCAATTATTTGACATATAAGTCATTTATAGATTTTTTT